TTTCCCACATCATAGACTTTCCCTTTCCATTTTCATCTTGTGACATTTAGGCTATGTTTGGTTTCAAGGAAATTGTAGGGAAAGGAAGGGAAAGGTATGGAAATCTTTATAAACCTTGTATCGGTTTCCTTGTATTTCCCTTCCTTTCCCTATCTTTTTCTTCAAACCAAAAATAGCTTTAAGGGGATTTGTCCACAATGGTTAAGTTCTTGTTGGAGGTTTCTTATAAATTCCTTTTCCAACAATAGATCCCCCATTATTTAGTGTGATGTTTAAAACGAATAGGGAACCAAGTAGCTCATTTGTGATAAAAAAAAAGGGTCTAACCATTCATTATTGTTTTATTTGACCTAACAAGGATTGTACATTGGGCAATTTGGATGAATCAAAAAGGGGGTGTTTCCACTTGGTTTTTTGTTTTTTTTTTTTGATATAGAGTATTACAAAAAAAAAAAGAACAAGAAAAAACAAGGAAAATCTAACAAGACGACTTCGATTCAGTAAAATGACCCCAAGCATCAAAGAAACAAATAAAATTTAGTTTGGGTCATTTATACTGGAACAAAATATATTGATATCATGACCCATAGACCTGTTTATGGGTTAGCCTCGGGTTTGGCTTTTGCCAAAATTTGAATGGGCCCGGCCCGAAGCCCGGCCCATAAACAGGTACCCAGGGTCGCCAGTCTATCAGTTGTGAAATTCGCTTCCCTGAAGGCATGCTTGTAGGAGATATTTAGATTGCATATCTCCGTGATAAGGTTGTTGATGTTCTCAATGATGATGTTGGAATCTCCTTCGATGACAAACCTTAGATTGGGAAATCTGGCTGCAATGGTATGGGCTTCCACAACAACTCATGCCTCTGTTTCATTGATCGTACACACACCTATATCCTTGCAACTAAACAGTTTGATTTTTTTGCACTCATCCCTCATTATGGCTACTATTGCACTTTTTACCATCCTCCCTCCTGGAAGCGTCAAAATTTATCTTACATCTCCCCTCTCTTGGATGTGACCATTTTATGAGCACTTTTGAGGTTTCTGTCGAATCTCTAACACTTTTCTGATTACATGTTTTGATATATTCTTGCCATTCAAGGACGGATTTCCTTACTACCTAGTTAAGGGTGATGACATTATTCTTAAAAAAAAAAAAATTCCTCCTCTTCCAAATATTCCACATAATAGTCTCTATTAGTTCCACATTATGATTTGGGGATTTTTTTATCCACCAATTGGTGAGGTCTTCCCCTTGACAAGGAGTTTAGATAGTATTGTTAAACTCACCCCAAATTTTACAAACATCCTCACATCGCCAAAAAAAAAGAAAGATGATTGGAGTCTTCCACTTACTTAAATAAAAAATATTATATATATATATATATTTTATAAAACATTTTCTCAAGTCAAGCTTAAATCAAGCCGAGGTCGAGCTTAAGGTTCTAGCTCGAACCGAGTTCAAGCTCAAGCTCGAGCCTCGTACTGCCTTGGCGAGCTGAGCTCGAATAGCTAGCTATTCAGCTTGGCTCGACTCGAATCCACCCCTAATGAAATCACTCACCTGATTCTTTGGAGAAATACTTAACATGCTTTCTAACTTATTTTTATCTACCCAGCTATCACTCCAGAACTGGATGGATTTCTCATTGCCTATTTTCATCCAATCCCCTTTCTTAGGACTTCCCTAGCTTCTATTATACCTCTCCAAGCCCATGACATGTTCCCCTTCTTAACAACCTGCCACGGATCTCCATATTTGAGATATTTTCCTTTTATCACTCTCACCCATAGGTTGCTAGATCCTATCCATATGCATCCCTAGTTTTACACCCAAGTTGGCAAGTAGTAAATTCCAAATCCTAAGTTGCACCCTAATTTATTTGAAAAGTGGAGGTTTATGCAGGAGTCAAAGTTGAGAGTAGGGGTGATCATGGGCCGGGCCAGGCTTTGCACTTATGATAAGGGTTATAGCTCAGGCTCGGGCCTGTCCGGCCCAGGGTTCTAAGCCTGAAACATAAGCCATATCTTAGGTCTATACAGGCCCAGGCTGGGCCGAGCTTGATTCTGGGCCAATGTTACTCATATATAAATAATTATATATCTATATATTAAATGACATAACATGCATATAAACTTGTTTTATACATTATATAATATAAAATATTACATATATTATAAATTATACATGCCATGTTATAGTATTTATATATAAATATATAATATAATGTAAAATAACATATATACATATGTATACATTATACACAAAATGTGTAAATTTAAATATATGCGGGCCAGGCCGGACCCGAGCCGGGCTTGAAGTATTCAGCCCAAGCCCGACCCTATAATTACAGGCCCGGTCTTGAACACAAAACCCAAGCCCAAGCCTGGAACTTTTGGGCCGGGCCAGGCCGAGCTGAAATGATCACCCCTAGTTGAGAGTCTTTAATTATCTTTTTTTGTATTAATAAGAAGGGAAGTTGTCCAAAACTCACCATCACTTTTTATGAATTCTCTTAAACTCACTATAACTTTTCAAAATGTCCAAAACTCACCATGTTACTAACTTGACACTAAACAGACTAATCGGATTTAAGACATTACCATTTTACCCTTCATAGAAAAATATAAAATATACCTATATATTTTAATGTTTTAACTACAAAAACATGAAAAAATGGAAAATGTTCAAAAAATATTTTTAAATATAAAAACATAAAAACATAGAAAATACAAAAAAAAAACTATAGAAATTGAAAACAAAATAAAAAAATAAAAATTGTAGAAAACACCTAAAATTATAAAAAAACACAGAAATTGCAAATAAATAACAAAACATACAAAAAAAATTATAGATTATAGAAAATAGAAAATGTAAAAAACAGAAATTAGAAAAAACATTGGAAATTATAACAAAACACTAAAAATGCAAAAAAAACAAGGAAATTGAAAACTAAAAAAGACAAAAGAAACTTTAAAAATATAAAGATTGGATAAAAATAGAAATTGCAAATATACATAAAATGATAAAAATTTAAAAAATATATATTATAGAAAAAAGTAAAAAATTGTAAAAAAACTCAATCAAGTGATAAAATTTTAAAAAATATAATAAAAACCTACAAAAAAATACATAAAATATTACAAATTTAAAAATATCAACTAAAAAATCAAAAATAAAAAAAAGAGTTTTTAATTATATATTTTAGAAAAAATAAAAAATTACAAACAAACTAATTAAATGATACAATTTTTCAAAAGACAAAAGAAAAAACAAAAATTAGACACTAAATCCGAAGATTGTTGCAACAAAATTTCAAACAATCAGATAAACAATTACAAAAATATTTTTTGCATAAATTTGTAGAACCCTCGATGGGGATTTACATTCTATATTCAAAAGAATACATTGCAAATGTTTCAAAACATAAAAAATCTTTGAAATTTATGATTGTCTTCTTTCAAATCTTCAAACCAATAGATTGTCTTCTTCAAAATCCGAGCCAGAGAGAAAGTGCTACAACGACAACAAGATCCGAAGAGGGTGGTGCGGTGGCGGTAAGATCTGAGCAAGAGAGAGGGTGGTGCGACTACCTTCAAGAACGAGAGAGAAGGTGGTGCGGCGACCAAATTTGAGCAAGAGAAAGGGTGATGCAATGATTACCTTCAAGATCTGAGCGAGAAAAGGTGGTGTAGCGGCCAGATCTAAGCGAGAGAGTGGGTGATGCAGTGACTACCTTCAAGATATGAGTGAGAGAAGGTGGTGTAGCAGCGCAGCTAGATCTGAGCAAGAGAGTGGGTGATGTAGTGAATACCTTCAAGATATGAGTGAGATAGGGTGGTGCGACGGCCAGATCTAAGCGAACGAGAGATAGATAGAGATATATATATATATATATGTAGAGAGAGAGATGCGGTGATTACCTTAAAGATATGAGTGAAAGAAGGTGGTGCCACTGCCAGATTTGAGCGAGAGAGAGGGTGATGCAGTGACTACCTTCAAGATCTAAGCGAGAGAAGATGGTGTGGTGGCCAGATCTGAGCTAAAGAGGCAAAGCAGAGAGAGAGAGAGAGAGAGAATTTCAGTCTAACCCTAACCTAAATGACCCTTTCCCCTAATTCGCCATTCAAGGGTAATTTGGTTATGAAAAGTGTTATTTATGCTGACGTGGCCATTTATGTTAAGAAACATTAATAGTTTACTAACGGAAGGTGAGTTTTGGAAAATAAAACTCATATGACATGGTGAGTTTTGAACGTTTTGAAAAGTTGCGATGAATTTAAGAGAATTCATAAAAAATGATGATGGATTTTGGATAATTTTCGTAAAAATAAAGTAAAATAGAGGTTCAAAGTATATGTCGAAAAAACACATCAATGGTTTTGTAATGTTTCCAAATTTTATAGCTTGTAGTCTTCTACCATTAAGTAGTAAGTTAACATGTACAACCTCTATGCAATTTATTTAGAAGGGAGATAAATCTTTGTAGGGGCACGGGTCTGGTCGTGCCCTTAACGCTTCCCTAGAGGCCTGTTCATGGGCCAGGTAGTCGGATGAATTTGCCAGCTTGACCTGTTTTTTATTGGGTTTAGACAAAATTCGGGCTTAAGCTCTACGATCCAGGCCCGACTATTTTTTTAGATCGAACATGGGTTTTTCAAAAGTTTAAGCCTGAGCACAAACCCGACCCAATAATATTACATGTAATAAAAATATGTTAATAATATATAATTTATATCAATTTATCCAATTTCATGCCTAGTTTTGAGCTTTATAAAAGGGTTAGGTTCTGGCCCAATTTCTAAGCCTAATGGTAAAGTTGGATTTATATAAAGGCCACCGGGTCAAATTCTGAGATCAAGGCAAAAGGGTTGGGTCGGCCACTCGGGCCTCCCGACCTGAACCCGGCCCGTGAACAGATCTGAGTCTGGAAGTATCGAGGGCATGGAATCTTCTGGAAACTCCTCCCTCGCGAAAGCCCTAATATGAATGAATGCCTGCAGTCCTTATCCATACATCCCCTGAAACCAGCCCAAGCTTACAACATACACACGGTACACCAACATCCGAGTAGAAGAAAAGAAACATTCATAAACCCTAATCTCCCCATCTATCCCTTTTCTGGCATCTCGAATCAGTGAAAATGGCGTCGGCCAATGCCATTTCGACCGCGTCAGTTTTTCGCTCTCCCAAACAGGTGTTCTGTTATATTCTTCTTTCTTTTTCCCACCATTTGGGCAAGTAATTTATATCAAATTCCGTCATTTCTTCGTTGATAGCAATATTTCGTGGATTTTCTGCTGAAATTTGCAATTCTTGATTAAAGATGTCATCCTTCTGTTAATCGTTTGATAGATATCATTATTTGCTTTTTGTGGAAATTTATGGGTCGTTGGTTTTGGTTTAGCTTGTTGAATCCTTTGAGGTTCTGAAATTGGATTTGACGTTGAGCCTAGCATATGTTTTGGTCCTTTAGTGTATCTAGGGAACGTTGGAGATGCTCCCGACTCCCATTCATGCTGGTTTCGTTTGACAGCTTTTTCTTATTTTGTTGTTTAATTCGAGATTACTTCTCGTTGCTGGCCTTGTTGAGTAGCTTTTTGTGGTTCTGTTTGCTGGTATTCGGCTATGGAGCACTCTTTAGATTCTCATGTTACCACTTGAATTTACCAAATTTGATTTTTTTTTGACAGTTCGTGTTATGTTGTTGCAGGAAAGCTTGAGGAGGAGGGTGAATCAGGGGCAAAGGTTGAACAACGGCCCGTCCAGCCGTAGATTTGTTGTCCGGGCTGCAAAACAAATTGCTTATGACCAAAGTTCAAGGACGGCGCTTCAGGCTGGAATTGATAAGCTTGCTGATGCTGTGGGTGTTACTCTTGGTCCTAGAGGTATTTCTTTGCATTCTGTTTATCTGTCCCATCATCCCTATTCTCTACTTGATCGTTTTATTCAAACTAGTCCTTACATTACCATTTGTTTTGGGTTGGGGTAGTTGTCAGGAAACTGTCTTACATGGCCATTTGAGCTAGGTTTCCTTGATGGTAGGGTTTCCGTTTTCTTCCTTTTTTTTTTGGAATTTCATACGTTAATTAGATAACTGAGCATGATATTGCTTCGAAAAAAAAATTGGCAGATAAAAACTCTTGCTAGTCTAGGTCTTCAACCTTTGTCTGAGCACGTGCCTTCCATTCTAGATCCCGATGATAAATTGTTGGTAGCTTGAGGTCCAGCCGTCCAGAAGTAAAGTTCAAGCAGGATTTTGGGGGTATTATTCTGAATTCATATGGTGGCATTCTGGCTTGGACCTTTAGTAGGCCTGTCATGGCAAAAGATGCTTCAGAAGCAGAAGTTAGGGACCTCCTTGTAGGCCTCAAATCTGCTAAAGCTATGCAAGCTACACCATTGGTCATTGCTGGTTGATGGTGACTGAAGAGATGTAATCCTCTGGGCAAGTAAACCTAGGACTGGGCCTTGGAGGCTGGCATACTTCCTTGCAAGCATCAAAATTTCACAACAAATTGGCCTGTATCGGCCGATACGTATCATGTTGGTGACCCACTGATATGCCACTATAAGCAATGTTTCAGGGGGTAGACTGGCCTTATATCGACCCATCTGAACAGGTTTGTAAAAAGCTAAAAAAATTAAAGCCCTCAACAATAGGGACTGGTATGCTCCATTTGGCATATCAGTCTGTATTGTTATTTAGAATGTTGCTCACCCCATCCAAAAAAATATTTAGAACCTTGCTTCCTTCTAGAAATTTCAGAGTTGACTGCTCATCTTGGTTTCTGTTTCAGATGAATGTCAAGAGAACTGAACCATAAGGCTGATCACTTAGCTAAATCAGGATTAGAGAGGAACTTTTTTGTATCGTGCAAATTGACTGATGAGGCATTTGTGTTTTTGTTGATTAGCCTTGTCGTACATTCTCATATACACCTCAGTCTTTTTGCTTGAATGAAATGGCTACCTTTTTATCAAAAAAAAAAAAACAAACAGAGAAAAATTGATGCTTGAGGAGAAATACCTTGAATGTTGTACTTGGACTAGCAGCTGATTCTGTTTTCTATTTTGAAGGGAGGAATGTGGTCTTGGATGAATTTGGGAGCCCCAAGGTGGTCAATGATGGGGTAACAATTGCTCGAGCTATTGAGCTTGCAGATAACATGGAAAATGCTGGTGCAGCTCTCATAAGAGAGGTAAGGATCCTGTGTTGTTTTTTCTTTCCAACACGTTTTAATGAATTGATTTACAAGTTAGCTAGGCTTCATGAGGGTAAAAGTGGAAAAAATTTAGTTTCATAATTGCTGTTGAAAAGAGGGGTCATAGTGAAAATTGCAAAAAACTGATTGTTGTGCGAAGGAAACTCAGGCAAGATTCTACTGGGCTAGTTTGTTTCATAAATATAGGAAATGGGAAAAAGAGCAGTTGCTTTTGCAGATAAAGTACACTGTAGAATCTTTACAAGTTTTTTTTGGATATAATATAAATACTTGTTTGTTTCTGTTGTTAGTAGCCGCATGAAAATATCTTAACTTTTAAAGGTCATCGTTTGAACTTCTTGACGGTTGATTTGAAGGAAACTTTGAAATGAATTGGTCTATGAACCATTTATTTATTTATTTAATTTTAAAATTTGATGTAATACACTTCTAGCTGTATCTTCTGTGTGTGCTTTATTTGGTATCTGGGTTGGGTGGTATTTCTTGGATAGTTTCTCCACCCACTTAATAAGGTCGACTTTAGCATTTAGGTTGAAATGGCCTGACTCATTGAAACTATTGAAAGACCTAGCTAATTTGCTGATTCTGGGATGAGATATGCTAACATAGTTGACATAAGGGTTGGGTTGTCCTCAATCTAAAAAAAAATTGTTGTGGAGAGTGGTAGTGAGGAGGATTTATCAAGAAAAGAGATGTTCAAACCTGCAACTCTTGAAAGAATGTCTAGTAAGAGCAGCCCTTTCAAAAGGTGTGACCTAAATTTATTTAGAATCAAGAAATTTGTAAGGAAAAGGAAATAAACTGAAAATTTCAATATCTATGCATATATTAGGGTTGAGCATTCATGTACCCCCACAAGTTTTGGGTCCGGGATTCAACCCAATACGTGTAAAACTGTAAGTATATATTTATAGCCATAGCCTGGAATGCCTGCGTAGGGGACTTGTCCTATATTTCAGGCCCAGGTGCAGGCTGAGGTGGGCCTCTGGACTTGTGTTAAGCCCCTTAATTCTAGGTGCTAAGCCCCTCATGGACCATGATCATCAAAGATCAAAATTTTGCAATGTATTGGCTCGTATCAGTAGGGTACCGATGCACTGTTTTTAGGGTATTTTTTTAAAAGGTGTTGTTTTAAACGTTAGCATTAAATGTTGACTCTTTAAATTTTGAAAAAGAAACTAAAAATATTTAAAGTGAAAGGTTCAAAGTACCGATACACCCTTTCTGCAACATCAGGGGTGTATTAATACTTTGATCCTTGTATATATGCCTACCATGGGCAGAAAGAAGGAAATACGAGATTTTAAGTTGCTAAAGCATAGCATTTTTCCTCTTGCATGCACAAGATCTATGTCACAACCAGAGGGTTAGCATTGCAGTGCCATATTCTGTTTATCATGCTTCAATAGGAGTGAATTGCATGCTGTGTGTGCAATTTGTTCTTCAGGTGTGTGCAGTTCATGGCAAGGTTTTGTAAACCACAATTTTGGTTATATCTGTCCCTCAAGGGAACTGAAATATACTGAAAACTTCAATATCAATTTAATATTTTAATGCCCCAAATAAAATACCATTATAAATGTCAAACCATTAAAAACAGAAATATGTTTGGTTGAAATATCTGTTATGTCAAAATATTCTAAAACTTTGGAAATTCAAAAATTTACATTGATAGAATATTCTGAATTATGCCAAGTTTTACAAAATTTTAGCAAAAAAGGGTACAAACATGCAATTTTAACTTTTTGGTGCAGCTTATTGAAACCAAAATACTTAAAATTTCCACAAAATTTTAAACCATGTTCAGGGCCCTCGTATATACCCCCCCTTCTCTTTTCATTTTTGTGTGAGGTGATGTGTTGGTCTTCTTTAAGTAGTGATAAAAAAATGTGTCTGAACTCTCAGATGCTGTAGTTTCTGGAGCATTGCTGGTGACTATATGTATTAACATTCTTAGTTTCTGGGATGAAGGTTGCAAGTAAGACAAATGACTCTGCTGGTGATGGGACAACAACAGCATCCATTCTTGCACGTGAAATTATCAAATTAGGCTTGTTGAGTGTTACTTCTGGTGCAAACCCTGTCTCGCTCAAGAAAGGAATTGACAAGACTGTACAAGGCCTGGTGGATGAGTTAGAGAAGAAAGCTAGGGCTGTGAAGGGACGTGATGATATTAAAGGTATTAAAATGGACTTCATTAACATCACAAGTTATTTTTCTTTTTCCAGTGTTGTGTTTTTATTCTTTTTCCAAGAGTTCACGTTTTTTTATCATTAGTAATTGCTTTATGCTAATTTATCCTTTCTGATGGTTTTCCTTTTAATGCATTTCAGCTGTTGCTTCTATCTCTGCTGGCAATGATGACATCATTGGGACTATGATTGCTGATGCAATTGATAAGGTTGGCCCTGATGGTGTTTTATCTATTGAGTCGTCATCATCCTTTGAGACAACAGTAGATGTGGAAGAAGGAATGGAGGTATGTATCTTTTATTTTTTTTATATATATATATGTCCTTGATGTTATTCATTGGACTTTGCCTGCAGATTGACCGAGGTTACATTTCGCCACAATTTGTTACGAACCCTGAGAAAATGATTGTTGAATTTGAGAATGCAAGAGTCTTGGTCACTGATCAGAAGGTTTCAACAATAAAGGACATAATTCCTCTGTTGGAGAAGACCACACAACTTAGAGCTCCTCTCCTTATTATAGCTGAAGATGTCACTGGGGAGGCTTTGGCTACTCTTGTTGTGAACAAACTCCGTGGTATTCTAAATGTTGCTGCAATTAAAGCGCCGGGTTTTGGTGAGAGGCGTAAGGCTCTCCTTCAGGATATTGCCATCGTAACAGGTACTTGATTTTCTTACAGAATGAAATATTTTAGTTTTTTTTGGTAGAAAATATGAAATTTTCATTAAGAAAACTAAGAGAGAATAGACTGACAACAAGAAAACTCTGAAACAACACACCACAAAGAACTAACTAGTGACACTACTACCTGCAATACTACTAACAACTCCTATAATTTGACCGGACTTCAACATCAGTCATCAGCCAATAAAGAGTTCATCAGCCAAACAGGGGGACTAGAACCCCAACAACCTGAGAAATCAAAATCATGAGTTGCTATTAGCTAGAGAATGAGCAGCCCCATTACTTGAGTGGGTCACAAAAGAAAAGTTCACATTTAGGGTCTGTTTGGTTTGCAGTCGGAATCAGAATCGGAATCGGAATCAAAATCCTCCGGGGTCGGAATCGGAATGGTCCATTCCCATAATCTGTTTGGTTCAGACAGGAATGAGAATGGGAATTAAAATCAGCAGGAATGGGATTTCATTCCCCAGGGAGGGGCAGGGAATGGTCATTCCCTCAAATTCCAGCAGGAATGGGAATGGGATTTCGATTCCGCCCACCCAAACAGTTGGAATCGGAATAGCCCATTCTGATCCCTATTCCAGACTTCTATTCCTGCGAACCAAACGGGGCCTTAAATCATACAGGAAGTAAAATTTGCTTATTCTTGTAAAATAAAGTGATTTTTTCCTTTGGCTCCACATGATTATTTGGGGGGGTAAGGTAGGAAGCAAATTAATGTGGTCCCCACTTTATATGAGAGAGAATAGGTAGGAGGAACTGAGGAAGTGATGCAAAATTTGCATTAGGTTTTGCATATATGCTAAGGGATGCAAATGAGACAAAGGCTCAGTTTGGAAGGAGTACAAATACAAATATGTAGAGTGCAAAACCTTACATTTCGTATTATTTTGTATGTATTTGTACTGTACATATTTGTATTTATATTCCTTCCAAACTGAGCCAAAAGTGCAAATTTTGCATCAGATAAGAGTGCAAATCATAGTCACAAACAAATGGAAGCAAAAGTGAACTGGATGCAAAATTTGTATCCGATTCAGATTTGCATTGCAAATAAATGCAGCCTTGGTTTCTGATCTTTCTTCACATACAGTGGTGGTTATGTAGTGCATTTATTACAATATCTGTTGACACCCTAAACTCTGTTCTTTTCCTCTTCAGGGGCTGAGTTCCAAGCTAGTGATCTGGGGTTGCTGATAGAGAACACCTCAGTTGAGCAACTTGGTCTGGCAAGAAAGGTGACTATTAGTAAGGACTCCACCACCATTATTGCTGATGCTGCAACCAAGGATGAGATTCAAGCTAGAATTGCACAAATAAAAAAAGAACTAGCCGAGACAGATTCTATTTATGATTCCGAGAAGTTGGCTGAGAGAATTGCCAAGCTGTCTGGTGGAGTTGCTGTTATAAAAGTGGGAGCTGCAACTGAGACTGAGCTTGAGGACCGCAAACTTCGGATTGAGGATGCCAAGAATTCTACTTTTGCAGCCATAGAGGAAGGGATTGTGCCTGGTGGAGGTGCTGCCTTGGTTCACCTCTCCACGTACATCCCTACAATTAAGGACAAACTTGAAGATGCTGATGAACGGCTAGGTGCTGATATCGTGCAGAAGGTAAGCATATCATAGTAATCTATTTTATATCGTGCGCTTTATCATGCAAAAAAGAAAATTTTCTTTCACTAATTGGGTTAAATGGACACCATAACCAGCCATGTTAAGATGGATGTTTGGGAGCCAGAGTGCCTCCTATAGGTGCCCGTTTGGAATGGTTTTCACGTATCTGGCTTTGTGGAGTGGATCCCACCAGACAGCCTACAAATAATGTTTGGTGAAAACCCCCGACATCCTAAAATAGCAATCTTAAAACCAAAAAAACATGGCTTTCTGCTGAAATAAAACTTTTCCAAAGCAGCTCAAATAAAACTTCAGCCCTCTCACTCCCAAGTGGGCCCTAAGTGTCTGTTTGGGAGGGCTTTGAGGAGACAGCTTATGGCTTTTCAAGGTGGGCGCCACCCTGACAGCCTAAAAACAATGTTTGGTGAAAGAATCCTGTAAGTTCAAATACACTGCTTCAGTCAAAAAAAAGTTTTCATGAAGCTTCTCTTAGCTTCCTCATAACGGCTCAGCAAAGGCAGTTTAATCAAAGCTTTAGCTTTTTCCAAACGTGCCCTAAAAATATGACTTCGCCTGACATGATCAGGCACATGACTTGTTCTTTTCAATTAGGGCTTTAAAAGCTATACTGGTGGGTCATGTGATTTTTTGTAGATGCAGGGAGGTGAAGAATCTACCATTAGCCTAATTCCTGCCATTGAGGGAAGCATTTCTAAATCTCAGTTTGTTTTGTTTTAATCTTTTTTGTTTTCCTTTTTCAGGCACTAGTAGCACCGGCATCGTTGATTGCTCACAATGCAGGGGTGGAGGGTGAAGTAGTGGTAGAGAAGATAAAGGATAGTGAATGGGAGATGGGATACAATGCTATGACGGACAAGTATGAGAACTTGATGGAGGCCGGGGTTATTGACCCGGCTAAGGTTACAAGGTGCGCGTTGCAGAATGCTGCATCCGTGGCGGGAATGGTCTTGACTACTCAGGCCATCGTGGTGGAGAAGCCCAGGCCAAAGGCTCCAGTAGCTGCACCCCCGCAAGGCCTTGCTGTGTAATTCTTTTATTTTACCTTTGTTTTTGTCAAAACTTAACAGTAAATCGATGGTAGAATCAGTAGATGTGATTTTATATAGGCCAAGGCTAAATGGTTTACGTGAATGCCTTGAAGTGGCATTAGAGGAAGTTGGTTTACGTGAATGCCTTGAAAGGTGCAACACGTCCAATAGAAGTGGCATTTGAGCGGGAATTTCTTCTCTTTTTTTTTTTTTTGTACGAATATATATTGTTGAAAATTCAAGTTGGGACCATTGCTTTTATAGTTTTCATGGTGTTATGTGATAGTCTTATCGAAATATTCATTTTCGATTCCAAATGGTTGTTTTGGTCGTGGCGGTGGATCAAGACTTTGCTGTTGCACCAGCGCAGTCTTAAGTTGGAATCAGTTATCTTAGGATTCAGATGCATTGCATCCGGGCGGTACTCCACTGTTATTTGTTTGATCACACTGTCACTGAAGTGCAGCTTGACTCTAATGCCAGAAAAATCAATCGATCATTTTCCGCTGCCCCCTATTCCCTCCCTACCAAGAGTCTAGCCCCGCCTAACAAACCCACTCTCCCCTTTCATCCTCCAAGCACATCTGCGCCTCAAAAGCACATCTTAACGTGCATTTGGAAGTTGGAACATCTCCCGAAGTTCTCGGTGGGAGATATTTCCTATATACGGTGGGAGGCGTTTGTGGGGGTGCAGATGTGAATTCGATAATTTGATACCATCTACATGATCTTTTGGAGCTTAGGGCCAAGGTTCAAAGTATCGATAGATAGATGATTTCCTGATACGCCCTTCCGGGGGTTGTATTGGGTCAGCCACTGGTTCAGAGAGTAACCTTAAATTGATCCCTTTAAATCGGTTTCAAAAACAAATATAACCTAAAAAAAAGTATCAATACAGGCCAATACACCTTACAAAAATAAATAAATAAAGCCTAAAAAAAGGTATCGGCCTGTGTCAATACTTTGAATCAATGTTCAAACTTAAAAGTATCGACACATCGGCTCATACATACTATTCCGGGACCCCTCTGATACGCTCTTATAGTGGGTGTATTGGGGGTCTGACCTGTTCAGAGGGTGGAAGAGCCTTAAACCGGCCCCCCTGAACCAGTTTTGAACCTTGCTTAGGGCTTAGATAAAAAGACTAGTTACATTGAGCAGTAGTTCAACACGGTGTCTGGGAAATGGGCCCACTGCTCATCTACATGACCTTCAGTCTCTCTCTCTCTTTATATTTATCAACTTGGATGATTGGATTTATATATATATGCTGGATTTATAAATGTTGAATTGCAGATAAAAAGTGATTATCAACTTGGATGGTTGGAGAAGGTGCCAGCTACCCTGCTGGGGTATTTGGCATCGATGCCCTTGCTTCAGAGATATTTTCTGAGAATACGGTGCTGTACGCATGAGGGTCTGTTGCACCGTTTTTTCAGAAAATAGCTATTTTTTTATTTGGCATGATGCTGCCATATAGGCTGTTTCCTGGGAAAACAGCACTGGTTTTGTTTGGTACCAGTGTTGTATAATTGATTTTAGTATTGGTCTACTTTATCCAATGTCAAGATGATGCCACACCATTGCATCATTGGCAGCAATGGAAAACATTGTAGGTGTTTGACATCGATGCCGTTGCTTCAGAGATGTTTTCTGACAAAACGGTGCTGTATGCATGAGGGTCTATTGCACCATTTTCTCAGAAAACGGCTTTTTTTTTTTGTTTGGCATTGATGCTGCCACATAGGCTGTTTTCTGGAAAAACAACACTGGTTTTGTTTGGTACCAGTGCTGTATAGCCATTTTCAGCATTGGTTTACATTATCCAACACCGACTGGCAACAACAGGCTGTTTTCTGAGAAGACATTGAATTTGGCGTTTCTTCAGACCACATTTTCCCGATTTCTAAGGCGTGGTCTGGAGCAACGTTTTTTTGGAAAAACGATGCCAAATAAGAGGCTGTTTTCTGAAGCACAGTTTTTTCTGACATGGCACCGATGTGGTGCCATTTTCTCAGAAAACGACATCGATGCCAAACACTGCCATTGAATTTGGTGTTTCTTCAGTCCACACTTTTTTGATTTCCAAGGTGTGGTCTAGAGCAATGTTATTTTTTCCTGAAAAAATGATGTCAAATAAGAGGCTGTTTTTTGAACCACCGCCTTTTCTGACGTGACACCAATGGGGTGCCGTTTTCTCCAAAAACAGCATTGATGCCAAACACCACCAAAGTCCCTAACTGGTTGTAGTGGGACACCTAGGATAGAGTCCCGCCTTCACCCAGGTTGGGGGGTGGGGGTATAGGGATTTGGAGAAGGGCTACCCCTTTTCTGTAGCCTATTACAGGGAAAAAAAACTTGGATGATTGGATTGATAGTCCAGATGGATTTTGAGTCTGGATTGGTCTAAAATCTCAATTTTTTTCCAAGATTCCAACTTGCCCTTAGAAGGCAGATAAATACTAAAGAGAACTTGATTGGCAGGCATATTAAATGATCTTTATTGTCTTATTCATGGTTTTGAAAAACGGTTAACTGATTCCGTTTCATCCTAAAATTGCTTTTTGGCAAAAAACCATATATTGATTTGGTCTGTGACCCGCTGAACTGGGTGGTCGAACTGTCGACCCATCAGCCCAGACAAAAATTTTTGGCCATTTTTATTTTATTTATTTATTTTTTTAAATCAGAATGGGCCATCCGTTTGAACCGAACAGTTGGACCATTCAACCCAAGAACCGGTCCCCAGAGCGGCTCCATGTCTAGTGCGATTTTTAAAACCTTGGTCTTGTTTTCTTCAGACTAACAAAAATTTTTAGGTTGATCAAGTTCCTTTCTTTTGGTTTTAAAGTGTTAGTTTGACAACCGCTTCATATCAAACCAACAGTTTCTCTCTTTCTCTCTAATCACATGACCAAGCTATTAATCAGCCCTTCAGTCAAGGCCACTTGTTGGCAGCCAAACGATGCCGTAGGGCCAAATGCATCAGTGGGCTGGCTGGATATACTGATGTCGTCATCCATACTACAATGGATCCTTGGTAGTTAGAAACTGCTTCTGATTCATGCAGCAGCAGCAACACTACTTCAACCTTTGAAATACATCCGGCCTGAGCAAAAAAAAGGCCATTTGCTGGTTACATTCGTCCAGCCGTACACGTGGAAACATTTGTTGTATTTTATAAAGCCGAGGATGTTCTCGTTGTGTGACTGAACTAATGTAGTCAACAATGTGTTGTGATCAATAGATTCAGTGCAAATCAGTTTCTTAGACTGGGCTTGGACTTAGCTTTAACCAAAATTTGAATGGATTCAGTCCAAAGCTGAGCCTGAAGCAGTGGAAAAGTGTTCATGGGCCAAGCCTGAAGGGTGGCCCGTGAACAGGTCTAATTTCAAGGAAAGGGAACAACTACCATGGTGTTGGAGATTTGGGGCATAGTTGTGGTGTCCAAATGGGACTTGATATGAATCTTTCGTGGTCAAGACCATCATTAACGTCATCTAACCTTGTCCTAATTACATGAGATCCCCTAGATGAATCCTGTTCTGTCATTCCAATCTATTCAGTGCCATATCCATTATCACTACTTCAACTTAGGGGCATCAATTGGACCGGATTTGGTTTAATCTGATCCAGTCCAGTATGATTTCATTACAAATGGATCAGGTTCAATCCAGTCCAATGAATACTTTGGACCATTTTAGATTGATCCTATTCAATGTCTGGACCGTCCAATCTGTTCAAATTGATTTTAATTTACATTTATTCCATTATAAACCAGGTTCATTGACACTTGTATTCTTATTTTCTATGAATGGATCAGATATTGGTTTAGATATTGATCCAATCTGACTAAATCCAATATAAATCCAATGCAGATGGACTATTAAGTCTCAACTGGTCCAATTCAATATGTCTTATAAATCTGTCTAATCCGTTCAATGGATCCATTGACACCCATACTTCAATCAGTGTCCGTTTTGGTCTGCCTCTGATTCTTCTTACTAGTTCTGTGGATATTCTTTTTTGGATGTCTTAACCTCATTTTATCACCTGTTGGAGATTAGGGGATAAGTTTAGTTAAGACATGCCAAATAAATATGAAGCGGTCCCAACACTGATGGGCTTTTGTCGCAACAAAGCCCAAGTTTAGGCATGTGACAGACTACAGGGTCCAAGTCCAACAAGCAGTGCAACCGTGCCAATTGGTTATAGACTCTCCCTGCTGCAAATACGTGATCGATGGAGGACCTGAGAACTGGAGTCAATATCCAATGACAATAAAGTTAAACTAGCGGAGGGCCTTGCTTCGCAGGGGCTGGAATGAAAGAGAATGATTTCTGAATAAGAAACTTGGAATTATAAGTACTTTAAGTCTTGAAGTTTATATAAAGACTTAAAAGAGATCATCATGTGTTCATTTTTTAAATATTGCTTCAGCAAAGCATCTCATATAAAAGAATATGATCATACAATGATAGTTCTAAGTTTTAATTCATAGCTCACCTTTGTTTCACACTAAGAACTCCCAGTTGACCTAGACAGTAGGACCGTTTGGCCCGGGAACCATATAGGCAACCAATTCCGTTTTACCCCAAATCCGGTCCCATGCCAAAAATCGTTGAATCAGTTAACGATCTGTTGACCCGTCGACCCTTTCAACAGTTTTTGGCCATTTTTTATTTTTAATTATTTTTTTTTTATTTTTTAATTTTTGTTGTCAGAACGGGCCATCCGTTCTGAAAACTGATGGCCAAAACGGTTCCGTTTCTAGGTCATTTTTTCTAGATGTCAATAATTAGACGAAATAACTTTGTAGTCATAGTCATGGGAATGGTGGACATTGCAAGGAATTTCAAAACCTTGAAAGATAAATCCAAAGTGACCTTAAACATAGAAAAAAAAATGGCGGTAAATCCACAAAACTGGAAAAACTAAGGAAAAAAAATAGAAAATTGAGTCCAAAGTTCTGCTTTGAGACGGAGCTAAACATACATGCAATCAAAGAAAGAAACAAAGCAGATCATCTTGTAAGAAAAAAAAAAACATTGCACAAGAAACCCAAAGAAAAAACAAAAGGGAAGAAATAAAATAGTGGTAAACCCCTGTTTTGGAGGATCTTGAAGAAGAATACCAAATATTAAAAAAAAGCAGAAAATGAAAAAAAGGAACATATCGCACATGCTTGAATAAAGCCAACAGTAGAAGAAACCTTTGAATAGTGAAAATCCAAAATTATAAAAAACCATTGTTTTCAAACTAT